ATATCTTTTCAGTTATAAACACTAATTACACCGATAACATTAGAAAGAATAATCCTCTCATAAATCGTGATTATATTTCCAAGGGCAAAAAAACAGCGTCTTACAAGAAAGTGCGTGCCTTGTCTAACAAATTGTACATGCACACACACGCACACGCGTGTGCGTGATATTATATTTACGATATTTAAAGAACAGATTCATTCGGTCTCGATGAAAATCAGAAAGGATCAGAGACATGTTGTTAGAATTGATAAGCCACAAAAGAAGCCCTCTTTCTTCAGAGTAGGGAGTCCGCAATCTTTGAATAATGTGACCTTAGTGTTACATACGCCCGTATATATATATATATATATATATATATATATATATATATATATATATGGTTTATTAGCTTTTAAACAAACATAAAGTTATTCCCGATAAACCAGCTGGCGATCATCATCTTTGGAGTCGTTCTACAAACAACAGATGCAATCGCAAATCAACGAGAATATCTCACAAATAACCACCAGGAATAAAGACTCGTTTATCGTTTATGAGCCAAAAATAAGGTACCTATCTGATTCGGCTCCTCTGCTGCTGACCTCAGCACTTAACACACTTATTGCATCTGTCATCATCCCAATTTAGGTGTAAAAGCAAAAGCGAAAAATAAAAATAGTCAAAAATTTAGAAAAAAAAACATAATGAAACGACATGAATAGCAAACGTAAAATTACGCAATAAAAATAAAACGGAACAAAATGACAAAAAAAAATTAAATTAAAAATAAAATAAGCAACAAAAATAACGAACGAAAAACAATCAACAAAACAAAAAACTAATAAAAACTAATAATAAAACAAAAAATACAAACGAACGAAAACAAAAAACAAAAAAAAAAAAAGGACATAAAAACTAATGTTAATAAAAAAAAAAATAAAACAAAAAATACAAAACAAGAAGAAAAAGAAAAAACAAAATCAAAACATAATTGCGAAAAGGACACCTAAAATAGGAAACGGTATGTTGCATAACAAAAAAATAATAATAAAACAAAAAATACAAAACAAGAAAAAAAAGAAAAAAGAAAATCAAAACATAATTGCGAAAAGGACACCTAAAACAGGAAACGGTATATTGCATAACCGCAATCTAGCGCCAATGTATATAAAGAAAGTATAGTCCATACGTGACACATTTCGATTCATAACTGATGAGGTAGGGATTTTCCTACAATAGATTGCCGTGTCTTTCCAACCTAGGCTATACAACCCAGTCTGTCCTGTTATTCAACCCATAGTTGGGGGGAGAAGAGATGGATTTACCGTTTAATATCTCGTGGTTACTACTATGGATTGAGTGACAGTAAATGTCTTCAGATGTCAACATTTTCTCTATTTGTTCACAGACGTTAACAGCGCTGTAATCTGTACATTGCCAGTGACAAAAGTTTCTATTTTTACGTATTTTCCTCGCAAGCATGTCTCTGACTTCGTTTACAATAGTGTCTCTCTCTCTCTCTCTCTCTCTCTCTCTCTCTCTCTCTCTCTCTCTCTCTCTCTCTGCATTTTAATTTCTCAACGGATACTTTTCTTTTTCCCCTTTACAGCTTGTTTTACCATTTCCCCGTTAATCAACGTTGCAAATTTCCTGAATCGCGGCAGCATCCACACCGAATGGCAAGAGGTCACGAAGCATCCTTACTCCGATCCCTCAGGCCATTCGCATTCAATCTGGCTATCTTGATAGAGATTCTTTAGGTCTGAATCGAGAGAAAAAAACAACAATCGTCAACCTATTCGCATACCGTGCGGAAATCTGCAGCTGTTAGGACCCGGACGGATTGTCTCACGCTCCCTGTACCCAACTCTGATGCCATCCGTCCATCGAGGACAATTCCGACGACGTCCTTGGGATAGGTTAGTTTAACTGCCTTATATAAGGAGGGGGAGAGCAAAACCGGGACCCTCCCTGCACAAAATTGCCTTAATTTTTTCAAATCGGGCAAACCAAAACAAACACCCGGATGTCCGGAAACATATCTCTTGCCTTAAAGAGGTGATTTCACACCTTGAGATACCCCCGTGTCCCTCACACAAGTGATAATTTGGGAACTTGCGGGGTTTCTCAACAGACTTTCCATCTACCGTAGTTATCTTGAACAACAGGCCTAATAAGGATTTCTTGTGGTTTGAAAGGCCCTTTTCAAGTTCTCTCTTGTCCACTTTACAAATAATCTTTTTTTCTTCTTTTTCTTGTCCCTGGCCGGGTGGGGTGGGAAAGAAGTGGATGAGTGAGGGGGAGTAGACGTTGAACTGGCAAAGGAGGGGGAGTTTGTGTAAATCAAGGGAGAGGCTCCTTGCTTTAGACAAGATAGTTTTCTGTAACTTCCTTTGGCGAAGCGGGAACGGATAGGGACCTGGTTTTGCCCATGTTCCACGACGCCCTTCTTTGCCCAGGACGTTTTTCAACTAGTTTTTCCACTTCCTCTTCCTTCTCCCTGGTCCTCTTCAAGGATGAAGAGCGAGGCGGAGGCATTTTTTTCCACCTCCATCTCTGCTTCGGGACGTTGCTGCTTTTTGGTTTGTGGTTGTTGCTGTTTTTGTTGGCTCTCCTGTTGCTGTTTCTGTTTCTGTTTTGTGGGTTGCTCTGGTATTTTCTGTAGCAGAGTTTTCTGTGGTTGCTGCTGCACACCTCGCCCATCTCTCGCGGTTCTGATTGACTTTGTTTCGGAGATTGCGCGTCATGCTGTTGAGGAGAGTGTTGGTTCGTCGCCTTCCTTCCCTTCTTCACCTCCGTCCAGACACCATTAGGGGCCTTTTCATTTTCTGTTGCTGCTACTGCTGTTGCTGGTGTGGCTGTTGTTAGTTGTACACGTGTTGCTATCTTCTTCCCAGAGCACGCCTTTGACATGTGCCCCGAAGCACCACATATCCAACAGCAGAGTTGGACCTTCCCCCGCGATGAGCATTCGTTTTCCCCTGCACTTTAACACATTTGGGATCTCGTTAAAACTTTGTCGGGTGATAACCATTTGTAGTATAATGTCTCCACTAGCGATGCCAGATTTACGCCTTACAGCACCAGTCTCGTCTATTTGTCTATATTTGGCCAAAAAGGTTCCCATGCGGTCTTCACAAATGTCCACCGGTACGCCGTGTACCGTTAGTCTTCCGATTTCCCATTTACTCCGTCTGGTGTCGTACCAATGTGGTTGACAGGACACTTCCGGTCAGCTGTTTCGCTTCCTGTTCGGTAGCTAGGCAAATGTCACACATTGCATTGGACCTCCTCGTTATTACTTTTGGTGCGATACTGAGGCTTTTCAAAGTCTCTTCCGTGGTTTCCCTGCTGACCGCAATCAATTTCCGACTCTTTACGTCAGTGGTCAGCAGGTATATTATTCTTGCATTAACCGAGTCCAGAGCCTCACGAGTCGTGAGGAACTCGTTTCCTTAAACATACTTTTCATATTTGGCTCTATATTCGGCAAAGTATGCCGAGCCCTTTTTCTTTGTCCTGTTTTCCGACCATGCCTTTTTTTAGGCTGTGACGTATTTTGTGTGTGCACCGCCGGTGCTTCCAAATTTTTGGTCCCTGGTGGCCCAAAACCACCACGGCTAGACAAATAAACGTTCGCTTTATATGCAAATTGCTTATGTAAAAAAACGAAGGAATAATTAAATGAAAAAAAGTCTCACGATCTACAAAGACGAAACAAGTCTTGGACGGATGAACAAAAAACAAACAAAATAAGATCAAACGAGAACGTTGAAATTTAAAGTTGAAAACAACAATTAAAATAAATGCGAAAATAAAAAACGGGGAGAGGGTTAAAAACGCAACAAGGAAACAAACTAAAGAAAGAAAAAAATGAACAAATGAAAACAGGCACACACAAATAAAAAAGAAAACTGAGAAATTCAAAGATTCAACAAAATTAAAGCAATAAACTTAACCGTTCCTAAGCAAGGCAAACTTGAGCTGGACAAAATCAACAGTCGATAATGAAGCAAAAATTTTAATGAGTGTAACAACAAAATCCAAAACGTTTTGATACAAAAGAAACCTGCAAAATTTAGGCTTTAATTTAAACAAAATAAGAATAACAGATTTTCTGGGCAAGGTGCATAGGTTCGTGTTCAGTACTAAAGAAGAAAAACGCCTTCAAATCAATTTTTCAAAAGAGATCAGGTTATACTAAGGTCAAAATTACTGGGGAAAATAGTATAATAAATAAAACCATTGTAGTGCTTAATTTGTTTCATTAAAAATAACAATTTTAGGATGAGAAATAAAAAATTTTGAGGGTGGCCAATTACTTTTGACCGGTAGTATATATATATATATATATATATATATATATATATATATATATATATATATATATAAACAAGTAAACAAACACTAAAACGAGCTGTTTAAAAATGTGTGTAATAAAAAAGTGGTCAGTAACAAGGCAGAAACACTAACCTGTAGAGCTATTAAACTTATAGGTAATAAAATCTTTACACACTGGATAGATACATGACCGCGGTTTCGACCGCCAAGGTCTGTTCAGGTGGTTAATACAGCGAATTAAATTACCTTCCACATACCAAAACTGAAATAAGATAGTGTTACACCTGAAGTGTATTTGGGGAGGAAAGAAAAACATATCATCCAGCCTCATACGGGTTCGTAAATGACTAAGTATTGTCATAAATATTGTAAATTTTGTCATGACCTCTGTTCTTTCCTTTGAAAAAGGACAATGAAAGAACAGGTTTCTGGGAAGCGGAATATGACCTTTAAATTTTTGAAGTTTGTAGGGAAGAAAGAAACCGGAAGAGAGTCCCAGAGTCGAGAAGCGCGAGAGAAGACACTGTCAGAATAGAACTTACAGTTACATTTAGCTACAAGGCCTGCGCTAGGGTATCGTCCACCTACGAAAACTTTGATACGGCCCCCTCTCTACTACATGTCGATTTCAAAGTTTCCCAAGCTGGGGGCTACAAACACACGAAGGAAAATTCGAGGGTGAGGGCAGCGCTTTTTTTAAATTACCAAAAATCAGAGAATTATTCAATTGGAATCAAAATTTCAATACATATTCAATACATTTCAATACATATTCAATACAAAATTTCAATACATATTCATCAATACTTGTATAATGAATATTATTTTTTATTTAAAAAAATCTGAAAAAATGTTATTCTTTTTGTAATAACTACCAATATTTTCATGGCTAAATTTTATTCGAAAAAATTTCCATAAAGATTAATCGCCGACGCATCTCCGCTGAAAAAAAAAAAAAACTTTTACAAAGATTCCAACACAACACAAACGGGATTGTCTATAAAATTGTTTTAAAAACAGTCTCTCAGTTATCCGGAAAAATTTTCATGTTTGAAATCTTTAATCATTTTAGTTTCTATGCATTCATTTTCTCTTTTTTTATTTTTCTAGAAACGTAAAAAATAGGGACAACACTATCTTTAATTACTATCCGTTAACTTCTGACAATGTAACGTCAGTTTAAAAATAATTTAAAAAATGGCGGATGGCCATAAACATTGCTGAAAAAAATGAGAGGCCACAACTAGACCCCCAAAACGCCCCTCTCCCGGTCTAGTTATTTCAAATGTAAAACTGTGAGACCTAGTTGCCAATTTGATGCGTTTAAATTCACGCGGTCGCCGTACTAAAGAGAATAATAATATTTGGTGGTGGGGGGGTAAATACAAAAAAGGCGACAAAGGCCAAAAAATTACATACCCTTCTTTCGATTTTGTCCAGAATCTCGAGATATATAGCAGGAGCAACAGAACAGATATGAATATAATATCCAATTCATGGACGAACGTTAGATTTATGAATGTACAAGATAGATTCTGGTATGAAAAAATTATCTGGCACGACACAGTGAACTAAAATTTTTTTCCAAAATTTACATTATACCACCACTTTCCTAATAGAACTAGCAATTAATTCAATATGCTCAGTGCATTTCATGAATTTTATAATAATACGAGTATATCAATGCCTTAAACTACCGTATATACTCGCGGATAGGTTGCACTTTTTTTTACCACAAACCTACCTCATGCTACTAAATTCACATATCTATTACAATAAATAAAGAAAATTTTAAAATATTCATTGATCCATCAGCCACCATTCGGTTGGGGTCCTCGCACTAGAAACCTTGAACATGCATACATAAGTTAAGGAACCACATGTAGATGTTTATTGACAAAGAAAAAATAGTCCTCCGATTCATTCTGCAATATATATATATATAATGTCATTCTGCAATATATATATATATATATATATATATATATATATATATATATATATATATATATATATATATATATGTTGTCAAAAATACGTTGAAAAATATGACTTAAAGAAATGAAATATATTCTTTATGAGATAATTTTCTTTAATGGTTGTTTCGTATAACATTAAAAGACGTTCTTAAGTGTTATTTACAAATAACAAAGCGCATGAATCTAGTACCCAAAACGTTTGCACTATTTTGTATTGCGCAGGTAATCAAATTTATAGTTTATAATTTTAATTGTTGCAAACCCTAATCATGAGTAAATGAAAGGGTTATGAAGTAGGTTTTAAAATAGATAAACACTTTTTTTTTCTAAATGTACCATAACATTTTCTTCTGTAGTTATTTCATCTTTTTTTTTTTCTTTTTTTTTGTCGAATTGACTCGATATAAAAATAATATGTGGTAAATATAAAAATACCGGTACATTAGTTATTTCCTTTTGTTTATATGATGATTGAAGAAATGTATTTTAACTGCAAAAGTGTATTAATAATTGTAAGTTTTGAAATAAAGATAGAAATAAAGGTAGATATCTGATAATTCTTACGTTTAAAAATGGCCGTGTAACTGCGCAGATTATAGTGTCACCTATCTGCGAGTCAAAAGTAAATCATCAATTATTAAGCCATAAAGTAGGAGTGCGACCTATCCGGTGGGGCGAACTATCCCCGAGTATATATAAATTTCCCCGCCTATGTCAATATAATTATTAGATTTTTAAATATGTGTCCTAAATGATGTTTTTCTAATGAGATGAATATGCTGGGTATATCAGTTTATTACGGGCTTATGATCATATCACGTTGAAACACCGTTTCACATAAGATCACTGAAGTTAAGCAACATCGAGCCTGGTCACTACCTAGATGGTTGACAGGTTAGGAATACCAGATTCTGTAACATTGGATGAATATGCAAGTGGTGTAATCGGAAATCAAAGAGCCGAATTCCAATTTCTACAAATATCCCTGGTAGAGCTATGAATTCAGTTCGTCTCTCTCCCCCAGCTATGGGTTAATTAGTAGGATTTGTATCAGTAAGTCATTTTTATCTCCAAAATATTATTACAATCTAAAAACATTATCTGGCTTCTAAATTTCTGATTTATCAATTTATAATTTAATAGTAAAAAAAAAAAACAGAGCCCTCACTTTATGTTCATTAGAATTAATATTGCTGATAGTTTATCCGTACCGTCAAAAATGATGACATCTATGAAATTCCTATTTTGTTAAGTGTTTACTGTTATTAGAGTTTCAAATATGACTCTTGAAATAGATAAATAAATGTAAATTGCAAGGGAGATAACTCCAAGTAAACCAAAAAATACTTGGTACATTATATATGGTAATATACATAATATATTAGATACGCCAGGATATCCTGCTCCGTGTCAGGTGGCAGGACATAGTCGCGGACACCGAGGGGCTCCAGTGTGCTTCATGGCTGTTTGCTCCTGTGGACTGGCCACGTCGCCGCATGGACGACTGTCGCCTCCCAAAGAGATTGCTCTATGGCGAGCTATCCACGGGCAAACGCTCACTCGACAGACCAAAGATGCGTTACAAAGACATGTTGAAGGAGTCTTTCAAGTATTGCTGCATTCCCCTTTCCGCCTGGGAAGAGTCTGTTGAGGACCGTTCCATCTGGAACTCCCTTGTAAAGTTCTGAGTGTCTGATTTTGAAGAGAAAAGAATCAAGGACAAAGAACAGAGACGCCAGAAAAGATCGAGAGGGCTCCGCCTCCCAAACAGATTCAGCGCCTCCCCACCCAACATCCCAGTGATTCGAAGTCATCCCAGTGATTCGAAGGTCATCTCTGCATGCGGAGGATGAACGTATATATATAATATATAGTGGATAAAGACAAAAGGAAAACTATTTTCTTTACCAACTCCTTTCGTCCTCTGATGAACTTTATGAAGGCAAATGTAAGGATTTTATTTTGCAACGTCTTTTATAAACAGAAGAAAAAATATTGTTCGGTTTTTCAAAAACAAATTTCAATTTCAGAACGCTTAAAATATTCTTACGGCTGTGAAAATCAAAGGAAACTATGGAGGATACTAAGTGTGATGTAATTTAATGCCTAATAAAAGAAAAGTAAGTAAGTATATATATATATATATATATATATATATATATATATGGGGGGGTGTAGCGTAGTGGGTGATCGACGCAGAATATTTAAATTCCAGTCGAGATAGTGTTTCCTTTCGAACAAATACCATTGGGAAAAATACAAAACAACTTCTTTTCCTCCCCGAACCATCTATGATTTAAATAACAGGACTGAGTGTGCTGTCTAGCCTTGGTTATCAACCAGTCTAGAAGAAAGATAACTGCATTCAAACTCTGTTGGGCGCGTGGCTAACAACGCCAACCCGTAAAAATAGCCTAATTGCTATGGAGACCATAGTAGCAACAGTAACGTCGCGCGGTTGTAGGCCTTTACTCCACATAAAGTAAAAAAGACTCGTCAATTTTTTTGCACCATTTAAGTAAAGAGAAGAAATGACAGAGCCATGGTTGTGGCAGTGTTAAGTCCTCGATTTATTATAATGTTGGTGTCGCGCATTGACGTAGTTAATGGAAATTCTGTCCTTGAGGCTTGCTGTCACCTAGACACCTCTTGGTCTAAATTCCAATTTTTCGTAAGTACTTTTGATGTGGCATTTTACTAATTGGATTTATTTCGCTCTAACATTCAAACTGAATGACAGGGATTTTGATTTTGTAGAAATATGCCAAGAATTTGTCTTCGATTCCATACCACTCGAAGCGGCTTCTAGAAGAGCCTCAATTGAAAGTCATTAACTAATGCCTTCTGACGAAATTTTGATTCCCGGACCGTTATTCTTTACCACGAAGCCTTTCCATAGTCCTAATATTTTTTATGGCACGACATTTAACTTAGTCCTCATGCCAATTACATGAACTGAAAATCTGAATCGGCGAAAAAGTGTTTGCATTCTGGTGACAGCAACTAATATCCACTTTGAAAAACAACAAATTTAAATCTTATTCTGTTGAGTACTATCTCCATTGATCAAACTTTGAACTTGTCACTGGAATTGCAGTTGGTAGACAGGTCGGTAAACAGTAAAAAAAAAATAGATTACGGACTTATGTTATCAAGTTTCATTCCATAAAATAATAACCAGGCGATGAGAAAGATTGAGAGCGAATCTGAGTAAGTCACAATTCGCGAAGTAGATATTCATATCATATTCGTTAAAGTAGATTTTTACTCTTTTCTAGCGAAATCGAGGTTTGTCTGAAAAGTAGCGAGACACAATTTATTTCAATGCCAAAAACATACTACACTGTTTAACTTTCAAAATAATCCCCCCCACCGAGTCTAATGCATTTTTCCATCCTTCTCTGCCATGCTTCTATGCACTGCAGAAAGGATTCTTCTTAGATGCCTCTCAGCTCTGTCGTTACGGCTTTCTTGATGGCCACCACGCCTTCAAAACGGGTCTCCTTGATGATCCCCTTGAGCTTGGGGAAAAGAAATATGTCACACGGTGTAAGATCAGGTGAATAGGGAGATTGTTATTCTTGGCCAGGGACTGCCGGATGCTCAGGGCGTTGTGAGCAGGGGCATTGTCGGAGTGAAGCAGCCACGATTGGTTCTGCTGCAACACTCGTCTCTTCTCGCGTACTGAGCGAAGCAAACGCCGCAAGATCTCTTTGTAGACTTGACGATTGATCGTCTGGCCCTGTGGCAAGAACTCACTGTAGACAATGCTCATAGCTTGCACAGCACGCCTAGTCCCGTTATTTTTCAGACAGACCTCGTAAATAAATGAACAGATTTAAAAAAAGAAAAAAAAAACATCTCGCAATATAATAACTTCCTTGACGTCAGTGTCGAAAATATTGATAAACTTACTTGAGTTTATTTGGTACTTGACATTCGGCGTTCGATTGGCTGTCCTTGTCCGAGATTGGTGTCATGTGATTATCGTTCAAGACGTTTACTGGACACATCGGAAGTTGGCTAATGGATATAGACGGGAAGTGGAGAGAACCATAGTGTTCTTTCTGGGTTAGCCACTTTGGTGTCGTTCGTCGGCTGGATGACAAACTCGGACTGCAAAAGTAGTAATCAATGGTACACATGAAAAAAAAAAAAACAGCAATTCTTCTCGAGAATAAAATACAGAATAAAATAAAATTCCTTGCAATTTTGAAATCCAAACGAATCGCCCAATTCAGTCCAGCTGACTACATTTAGTTATGGAAAACAAATGAAGAAAAATTGTCAGGGGGTGTATTTCACTGTCCCAGTAGATCGTAGAATAAAACTGAAACAGAGTTAAAATCTGAAAAAAAATATCAGGACCTTACCAAAGAACTAAAAAAAAAGGTATCCTTCATTATTAGCAGCTCACTTGATCTTCAGGGAATCCCACAGGCGTTGATTATATTTAAAGCAACTACATACAGCTACAAATATCAGTGCTATTGTCACCACCATTTTTATTAACAGACATTTTCTCTCTTAAGAAAAGGAAAGATTTTACGACGGAAAATATACTGTTGGTCACAGAATTTTGCAATATTTGACCCAAAGTGTGTTTGGATCAATTTCAGTATACATTATGTAAGCTTTTCACGGAAAATCAGGAAAAAAAGGTGTTGTCAATGGTCAGGAATTAATGCCAGCATCACAGGTAAAATAGAGCTATTATAAGTACAATGAAAGTGAATTGTTAAGGATTTTACCGCTGAAATGCATTGAATATATGTATGTATGCATGTATGTATGTATGTATGTATGTATGTATGTTAATTGAATAGTTAGCTTATGTTTTTTTGGCTTTTTTTTCTTTTAGATTAGGCCATTGAATTATTTTAATTGATAAGTCACGAAACGGTGAAGGAATTTCAAATAAATAGTACGGGTTAATTTTGCAATGGCTGGTTTCGTAAAAGTAAGTAAATATAAATGGGGGATAGATAAATTTATGTTTGTGTGTCCGTTCATGTGCGTGTATGTACATTTCTTACATTTATAGGTAGATGCGTGGGTGTATATACATATATAGGAATTTTTGTGGAATTTCTTTTGCTTAAACGTATAAGGTAAATGTAAACTTAAAGATTTATCTGATAGTAAGAATAGCGAATAATTTGTTTTAGAAACGCTTCTATAAGTGCCAGGTTAGACTAATTTGGGACGAAGCATTAGTACTAGTATAGGTATATGATAGATTTGGGTTGGGTACGCGTGTAGGTTTACTTAAAGGGTTTGTAATGTTATAGGATTAGCAATTTAAAATGTATGAAATATTTGGATTAAATTATGCAAGGAAGAGACCAGCTTACTGAGTAAGGAATTCAGGGGAAGTAACTCGAATCGAAGCCGGATGAAGTAAAAAGACACCAGTATATAGGATGGGGAGCGTGAAAATCATTTTTTTTTTTTTCATTAGCTGATGCAGACGGACGTATTTCAATAAGAACAGTCGGACTCCTGGCTATGTCAGTCGATACGATTTTCTTTTGAATTTCTTCGAAAGACTTCACGGCAATTTATTCCAGACTAAGTTCGTTGGATGTAAGTGTTAAATTTTGTCCACGTTCGTTTTCATTGTTGTGTTTTGTTTTGGTATTTTGGTGTCTTTACGTAAATCCTTGTTTGTCGTTTTTGTTTATATTGAACAGTGTCGTGGGAGCGCCAACAGTAGGGTGCAATCCCAACTCCACGAGTCGACACCCAGGGCAAAAAGCTCTTTGGTGTGGGCAGAAGCTAGACCCTCCCCAAAAGGACCGAAGTACTGTAAGGGACTTACGGAGCTTTCTTTCCGGAAACGAGCTACTAACGGTTCCATCTTCTGGAAACAGTGAACACTAGTTCGCCGACTCAGATTTTCAGTTCATGTAATTGGCATGAGGACCAGCTTAAATGTCGTGCCATAAAAAATATTAGGACTATGGAAAGGCTTCGTGGTAAAGAATAACGGTACGGAAATCAAAATTTCGTCAGAAGGCATTAGTTAATGACTTTCAATTGAGGCTCTTCTAGAAGCCGCTTCGAGTGGTATGGAATCGAAGACAAATTCTTGGCATATTTCTACAAAATCAAAATCCTTGTCATTCAGTTCGAATATTAGAACAAAATGAGTCCAATTAGTAAAATGTCACATCAATTGGAATTTAGACCAAGAGGTGTCTAGGTGACAGCAAGCCTCAAGGACAGAATTTCCATTAATTACGTCAATGCACGACACCAACATTATAATAAATCGAGGATTTAACACTGTCACAACCATGGCTCTGTCATTTCTTCTCTTTACTTAAATGGTGCAAAAAAATTGACGAGTCCTTTTTACTTTATGTGGAGTAAAGGCCTACAACCGCCCATCGCTACTGTTGCTACTATGGTCTCCATAGCAATTAGGCTTTTTTACGAGTTGGAGTTGCCAGCCACGCGCCTAACTGAGTTCGAATTCAGTTATCTTTCTAGACTGGTTGATAACCAAGCCTAGACAGCACACTTAGCGCTGTTATTTAAACCATAGATAAGTTAGGGAGGAAAAGAAGTTGATTTGTATTTTTCCCAATGGTATTTGTGTGAAATACTCGACCGGAGTATTTGGAACCGAAGACAAATTCTTGGCACATTTCTACAAAATCAAAATCCCTGTCAATCAGTTAGA